TGATAAATTACATATCATTGGCTGATTTAAGAGATGTTATTAAGGGATGGAGCTCTCATTTGGCTAAATTCTTGGATGCGATCAATTATTGGACTCGTTCTGGAAACAAGAAGCCAAAGAAGCTCAATATTACAGTTATTAGAGACGAGACCGCGCCACAACAAACGAGCGGAGCCAGAGGAGATTGTGGTCCTCTCGTATGCTTGGCGTTGGAGCGTTTGACGACGGGAAGCACCAAGTATCTACCTCTCACCGATAGAGATAGAGCTGCAGTAGGCTTGTGGTTTCAGCATTATATGGCTAAATCGATATATACGAGACGCTGCCTACCTGCATCCGCGTTATAAAAATGTCCATAAACAATTGGTAAGTTTATAGACTTTTGGTTTGAAAATGTTTGGTTAAGTACCTAGAATTCAATAATTTCCTGTTTGTAGGTTTTAGATGTGTAGAAAGTGTTGTTTGAGCAAATGTTTGGTTTCTGCAGGTTAATCTCAGAAGTGAACTGCGTGAAAATGATGTATGGCTGCAAAAGTTGATTCAATAGCTTAATTGATTGTTTTTTGATTGTTTAATTGATTTGTAAAAGTTGATTCAATAGTAGATGATAGGAAATAAGAATTATTGCTTATTTTTTTATTGTTTAATTGATTTGTAAAAGATGATTTGTAAAAGTTGATTTGTGTAATTGATGCGAACATAATTCTTATTTATGCTTGTTTAATTGATTGAAATGTAATGGTTGATTTTGTTGATTTCAATCTGCATTATGTTGAAGGCAAAAATGACTATCGCAATGCGAAATGAAAATCGCAATGCGAAATGAAAATCGCAACGAGAGAATCGCAATGCGAAATGAAAATCGCAATGCGGAAATGAAAATCGCAACGAGAGAATCGCAATGCGATTTTAATTTCGCATTGCGATTCTCTCGTTGCGATTTTCATCTCGCATTGCGATTTTCATTTCGCATTGCGATTCTCTCGTTGCAATTTTCATTTCGCATTGCGATTTTCATTTCCGCATTGCGATTCTCTCGTTGCGATTTTCATTTCACATTGCGATTTTCATTTCCGCATTGCGATTTTCATGTTGGGATTTTCATTTCGCATTGCGATTCTCTCGTTGCGATTGTAATTTCCGTGTTGCGATAGTCAAATGCATGCCTAATAAGTGATAACAACTGAATAACAAGAGTTGGTTAAGTCAAAATGGTTGGCCTGAGTCATTAATTCAACTGAAAATGTTAAAAGTTCACACATAAAATCCACATAATACAACGTTTGCATTTAAAAATCACCTAAGTTAACAGTCCCAAAAGGTGAAGCCAATTGTGATTGGGATTTTAAAGATGATTGCCTTTTGCTTGACACCATATGAGCTTTGGATTTTGATAAGGATCCATATTTTGGTAGAGGAAAAGATGATTTTGATGGCACTGGTGATCCACATGTCAACCTTGTATGACCACTTTCCTTGCACCGACTACATGTCGATCTCTTCTTCTCTTCACCCTTAGACGGTATACGATCGTGACTTTTTGGTCGGCCAGGTAGCCTTCTGTCCATGGTTGGTGGCAAAACTGTTTGTAAGTCATCTGGTATGTCCCACTCAGAAGGATGTGGAATAGGGTAGACAATCTCGGCATAAGTCTGTCGATAAACTTCTGTAGTGTAGCAATCCATAGCGTATGCGCTTGAATCATCTTGGTTTAAATGAAGAGCAACTTTTATAACATGGCCACACGGATAACCAGATGTTTGCCATTTCATACAACTACACGTCTTTGCATTTAGATCGACTAGCCCATTTAAGTTATTATCCAGTACTTGAAACAAAGTGTTTGAACATGGTTCACCTCTCCATGACGTTGACTTCACAACACGTTTCGTTATCTTTTTTTCAGTCCATGGTGTAACACGATGTTCCAATGTTCCTGTAAATTTAAATAAACAATACTTAGTAAAATATATAAATATGATAAGTTACGAATTCAAAGAAATAATACATGCATGGTTTCTTTTCTTGTAGTACCACTGTTGAATAGAGGCTCGAAAAAACTCCATTAACATAGTAATGGGTAATTTCCGGGAATGACGACTTAGAGCGTTGATTGATTCTGCACTATTAGACGTCATGAAACCATATCTTGCTCCAAGTTGATGTACTCTTGACCATCTTTCAAACCCGACATCTTCTAGTGTTTGAGCACACTGAGGCAAAACACGTCTTAAACAATTTATATGCTTATTGAAATCCACTTCCCGATAAGCTTTTACAGCCTTCCAGTATGTCCATTTGTGCTTTTTTATACCAGCAGACCTTGATTTTAGATTTCTATACAAATGAACACCACAAAGTCCATGAAAAGCATCTGGGAAACACCTTCTAACAGCGTTGTCAATTGAGTTTGCCCTATCGGATATGATTGTCAGATTGCTAATAGGACCTATGCAATCCCTAAGATGCCCCATAAACCATGTCCATGAATCAGAGGTTTCAGATTTGCCAACCCCGTAAGCTATTGGCAATATCCCATTGTTAGCATCCATGGCTACTGCTAATAAGTTTACTCCAAGGTATCGACCTTTCAAATGTGCTCCGTCAACTATAATAACTGGGCGCATGCAAGTAATAAACGAACGAATCTACAAAATAATATACACAAGAAATATAATCATTTAAATGTGAAATGCATGTAACTAACAAAAATGAGTCAACAAAATTATATTGATTTACTAACCGTAGCACCAATGGCGATAAACAGCAACTCAAAGCGTCCATCTCTATCTGTTTTGATATGAGTTACCGACCCAGGATTTTTCAGCTTTAAATTGTGACAATAAGCCGGCAGTTGGGCAAACGATGCTTCTGGAGACCCCCTCAACAATTCCAAGGCATAACATTTGGCTCTCCAAGCTTGAGAATATGATATACTAATCTTGAACCGAGCATTCATGTCAGTCATAATTTCATGTCCCCGATATACCCTGCCATTCAAAAACATTAACTCAGCCAGAAAACCACCCAACACCTTTTTGTTTGCCTGTCTATGGTGAGGAAAAACTTGGGTTCTTGAACATGTATGTTTATCAATAAAAGTCCTAACTTGAAACATTTCGCAATCTTTTATTCTCTTTGCAATCATACGCCACGTACAGTTTTTGTCAATCATACACCTTGTTTCGAAACGATCTTTGCTTGATTTGTTAACTTTTAGTTGATAGCCATCTTCCACACATTTCGTATACAAAGCTATCTTCAAGTCTTCCTTTGTATCAAAACAATCATCTTTCTTGATACGAATAACTTTTGTGTAACAATCAACTGCTTTCTTTACCAACTCTTCTTCCGGTATCTGAAGTAATTCTGGCATATTCCAGTTATACGCCCGTGGCATTTTCCTTTCTTCGGGGACTTTTTCTTCTTCTTTTTCTTCTTCAGGATTATATGAATTACAGAATGGATGTTCAACATGTTCATTCACAGTCGTAACTTCCTCCTCATTATCATCAACAATACATTCTTCGGCAACGGCTGTTTCATCATCAAAATTCGGGTATTGACCAATATCAAAATCATTACACGCAGGGTCTGTTTCTTCTTCTGAAACATCATCAAAATCCGTGTATTGACCAATATCAAAGTCCGGATATTGACCAAGACCAAATTTCGAATACTGACTAGTACTCACAATTTTTTCTGTTGGCTCATCATCGTCTAACTGGTCAATACGAAAACCGGAATTTGGTGCTGAAAGTTGATTGGGATTTGGATTAGAGAAAGGTTGTGGGTTTTGAGAAAAACTTAGTTGATTACTACCCGCTACTGACCCAACAATACTACTTCTAGGTTCAACAACATACAATGTAACATCATCTTGTGAAACACTAATGTAAGCAATGAATCGTTCAACATCTTCATTGTCGGTTAACAAATAAACTTTACCATTTCTCTGATAAGATAGCCTAAATCCACTTAGGGGCTCTAAATTCAATTTATTTGAAACACGTAGCATTAGAGTTTTATAAGTTAACTTTTGTAAAGACAATTTTAGTTGAAGATTCATGGGTAAAGGCATATATTGTAAAACACCATGAACATTATCCCATGACCCTCCAAAACACAAATCTATCCAAACATGATCAACATTAGATGATTTCATGGTTGTAAATTAATTTACTAAACAGACGAGCTGCGAAACTAAAACCTGTTGCCGGATTGGGAAGGATGTCGTTGGATATAGGAACGGATGTCGCCGGAGAGAGTGATAGATGGAGATGGAATGAGTTGCGATTTAGGGATTTAGTTTATGATTTGCTGCTGTTGCGTAGTTATATACCCAAAATTTCAGTGTTGTGATTTACAGATTCTCGTTGCGATTTACGGATTATCGTTGCGATTTACAGATTCTCGTTGCGATTTACGGATTCTCGTTGCGATTTACGGATACGCGTTGCGATATACGGATACGCATTGCGATTTACGGATACGCGTTGCGATTTACGGATACACGTTGCGATTTACGGATACGCGTTGCGATTTATGTGTTCGCGTTGCGATTTTCATATTCGCGTTGCGATTCTGTAAAATCGCAATGCGAATTTGTACTATCGCATTGCGATTTTCAAGAATCGCGTTGCGATTTTGGAAACTGATTTGCGATTCTGGGGATCGCGTTGCGATTTTTATTTCGCGTTGCGATTTTGTTGGTCATTTTGGCAAATACAAAAAAAGTTGGTTAAAATCGTATATTATAAGACATTTTTGGTCACTGAGACGATTTTCTCCAAAAAGAATTGTTGTTTCATTACTGCAAAACCACCATAAAAAACTGAAATCCACCCACGTGGATGGTGGGGCGGTCGAACGTAGAAAACCCAAAACCACCATGCAGAATACACACACACACAAATAATCTAAGTAAAAGTTTTCCTGGAATAGGAATCACCAATGATCGTTTGAACTTTTTGCTGATTGTTTATTTATTATTTTCCTAGAAAACAAACAGCAGAGGACACCATTTTCAGGGTGAAGCAGCAATAGCAAATTCAAATATGGCGAAAAAACAAGTATGGGTTCACTCTTCACACCCTCGGTCGCCTTCTTATCTCTTCTTCTCCATCGTTGCCCTTTCTTTCCTTTCCCTTATGGCCCTCCTCATCTACAAGGTCGACCCCTTTTGTTTATATATATATATATATACTTGCTTGTAATGAAACGATGAATGTTCTGATGGTTTTGTTTCTTTTTCTTTCGGGGAGATTTAGGTGGATAACTTCGCTTCACAGACGAAAACCATCGTGGGTCATAATTTAAAGCCGACGCCGTGGCATATTTTCCCGCGGAAGAACTTCACTGATGAATCCCTACATACTCGCGCTTACAAGATCATCCAATGCTCCTATCTAACTTGTCGCTACGCCGCCACCGACGGTGCCGCTCAACCCTCGGAAGAGAACATGGAGAAACGGCGGGGTTTAGTTTCATCTCGTAGCCCTCCAAAATGCCCAAACTTTTTCAAGTTCATTTACCGTGATCTTGAACCATGGTTCAAAACCCGGATATCCATTGACATCATAACTCAAGCCAAGAAGCACGCTGCGTTTCGTTTTGTTATCGTGGAAGGGAAACTGTTTGTCGATTTATATTATGATTGTGTACAGAGTAGATTGATGTTTACCCTATGGGGAATTTTACAGCTTCTGAAAAAGTATCCTGGGATGGTCCCTGATGTCGATATCATGTTCGATTGCATGGATAAGCCTTCGAATCGAGTCAAAAACGGGTCATTGCCGTTGCCTCTGTTCCGGTATTGCACGACCGAGGCTCACTTGGACATCCCTTTTCCTGACTGGTCCTTTTGGGGTTGGTAAGAATTGCTGAAATGATATGTTTATGTGCATGATCTGCGTCAACAATGAGCAAAATTATCCCAAACTTGAAATGATATGAATAGCAATTTCATAATCTGGGGATACAAGGGATTGCAGATAACTTGCTGTGGACTAAGCCCCAGGTCTCCAGTTGTTAATGATTCTATGCAGATAGGATGTTAAATGGAAGTATGAATTGTGTGAAAAATGCCAAGCTTAACAACATTGTGTTCTTCTATGCAAATTTGTCTGCTTAGATTTGTACCATTGTATGTCACTGCTATCCATGTTTCATGTTCAATTACTCCCATAAGTCATAATGTGAATGTTAAGCCAAGTGTTTTCTTAAAGGGTTTCTAGTGTTATGTGAATACTTTGGATCTTGGGATGTGTATATATATATTTAGTGCCCCTCTTAGGGCTTTTATGATTGATTTGTGTTAGTTTGGTGGATATCAGTTTGATTCTTCTTGTGCATGTCTTTATGAATTACTTGTCTGCAGGCCAGAAGTAAATATACAGCCTTGGGATGAGCAGTTCAAAAAAATTAAGCAGGGTTCACAAACTCAAACCTGGGCGAAGAAGATTGTGCATGCCTATTGGAAAGGAAACCCGGATGTTGAATCTCCAATACGTATGGATCTAATGCAGTGCAATGACACTAATTTGTGGGGTACAGAAATTATTCGTCAGGTTAGTTGGATTTCTCTTGGCTTTTGAATGGATGAGTTTCTCCATTGTAGAAATGATAGGTCTAACAACCAAAGTTATATTCTTCCAAATGCAATTATGACAATGATATGTATGTTATTTGATGAGGCTTTTCATTTTGCCATACAGAACTGGACAGAAGAAGCAAAGGCTGGGTATGAGCATTCCAAACTATCCGATCAGTGTAATTATCGGTGAGTTCTCTTCTTTGACTGATAATACTGCAGCAGATAGTTCACTTGTTTTTTTACTGATTACTGTAACACACATGATTATATTCATCATTCACACTCGAGTCCAGAGAACATAGCCATATTCCTGGAACTTCCCTAGACTGTATTCCTTGAGAGTCTTAAACAAAGCTTGAAAACTACAAGCTATCATAGTATTCGACTCGGTCTCTATGCTTTAAGTAGATGAGCCATTTATAATGTTTCATCTATTGAGCTTGTCCTGGTGGGTACAAACACTTTGGACTTGCTGTGCGAGTGTCGTTCATGTGCTGTGATACTAACACATTACATTTTTAGTCCTTGGGACCTGAGAAGGAACAACGCCTGCCTTTTTTTCATGTTTTCTTTTAACCAAATGATACTCAGTTCCAGACAATCTTTCCCCTTGGATTGCACTGCAGAGATATGCATTGGTTGCATCTGATAATGCATAGTTTTGTGTTATTTTTTCCTTGAATGTTATATACTGACATTTGTGCTTCATTTTCTCTGCAGTTATAAGATATATGCTGAAGGCTATGCTTGGTCTGTAAGCTTGAAATATATTCTATCTTGTGGTTCACTTCCCCTATTAATTTCCCCAAAATATGAAGACTTCTTCAGCCGTGGTCTCGTTCCGAAGTTAAACTACTGGCCCATCTCTTCCGTTGATTTATGTCACTCTATCAAGTTTGCCGTCGACTGGGGTAATACAAACCCATCACAGGTATGATCTGTTGCCTCTTAAACTGGGAAATGAACATAACAACTGATGAAAAAGAAAAAGTGGTGCATTCTTTCTTTCTTTCTTGCTGATTAATTTGGCTAATCAGGCAGAGGCAATTGGGAAAAGAGCACAACAACTGATGGGAAGTATAAGCATGGACCGTGTTTATGATTACATGTTTCACCTAATGTCACAATATGCCAAGCTGCAAGACTTTAAGCCAGTCCCGCCTTCGTCGGCGCAGCAAGTATGCGAAGAATCACTGCTTTGCTTTGCAGATGAAAAGCAAAAGGAATTACTTAAGAGATCGGCAGTCACCGCGGTTTCGTCGACGCCTCCCTGCACCCTCATTAGGCGTCCCAACCCGTATTTTTTCAACATTTGGGCTGAACAGAAGCAGAAAATAATTGATAATGTGAGAGACATGGAGAATAGAACAAATGCAGCTATCACATAGATGATATAGGTAGTACAAATTTATGTCTGATGTTTCTTACAGACTATGTTTTATATTTATAGGATTAACTCGAGAAAAAAAAATCTGAAACATAGCACACGTTATACAGAATTTTAGATCTATCCGGCTTTAAGTGGCATTAGCAAAACTTCCTTTTTATTTTTACTTGTTAGTTCAATAATTAGTTTTTCCTCCGGTTCTACTTAGTTCAGATAGTAGGGGTAAAACACGTTCGTGTGGGTTCAATAATTACCTTAGCTCTTTACCCGCAAAGTGGGATGATGTAAATGTTGTTAGTAGAGATGATGACGATATATCTTCAGGGTGTACTTACCCTGCCCGGATAGGGCAGTGATAAAAAAAAATTTCAAGTGTTTTGCTTTATTTTTCAATTAAGGAAAAATCTATAATACTTTCAAAAGAGGAAAGGATGATATAGCCTCTTTCTGAAAGACGATCGAACGATACGACATCTTTCCTATATAAAAAAACATAAAAGATGTTTTGTAATTTTGGCGTAATCTCCCATGTATTGTAAACAAAATCCTACTTCTGTAGTCGCCGATTTTGCCTACCCTGGCCCCATAAAAATGTTGTTTAGGCCAGCTCCACTTATAGGAGACGGAAGGCTTCTAAATACTCAAAATTAGCTTTGAGATTGAAGGAGGAGATTTTATCCAATTCTGATGAGATTTTGACTGCGATAGGAGTTCTTACAAGCAGAAATTTAAACTACGGTCTGATAGTGCCCCTATATAATCGTAATGATGCTGTTCAAAATCGTTATTATATGATTGTGATACTTTTAATTATCGTAATAGAATTTGTCAATCGCGAATCGGAATATCGGAAAGGAATTACCCTTTCGAAAAACGGAATTTTTACCCTATAGCTCAGTATAAAATTCAGCTGGAGCTGAGGGCATTGGTGATTGACCTGAGCAGAGCAGAGAATCAATGGAAATGGTTCAGGTGTGTATCCAAAGACGCTATGTGTCGCTGGAGAATCACCTTCATTAGCAGAGCAACCAGAGTGATTCTCACGTGAAGTTTAGTATCAAATCTTTCAGGGTGCCAGAATTGAAAATTCGAAATTCCAGAATCTGCAACTGTTGGTTCATTGAACACGACTACTGTTATGGAGGCAATGACAATAAAACTCTGCTGCAGACGGGAATTTTCCCAGCATCAGATGCCTACTTTGGGCAAACTTGTTGAAAACGATCATGATTCGGAACCCAGAGGCAACTGAAATAGTTATCACGAAAAATAGCAATGTGAAACATAATCACACCAATAACGATAGATTGCAACTATAATTTAGTATACCAATATTTTTTATTATTGTTCTACTGTTTAATTTTTTATGAAAATAATGAATAATTTCATTTTAGAAAAATTAACTCTATAAAAATTGAGGATCGTAATACCTACAATGACCATAATAACATTCGTTATATCTACAACTACAATAAATATAATGCGACCAAAAACGTAATTGAAACTTCAATTTAAATCTATTGTCTTAACAGCACACGCCTACTGGTGACAATTGAAGCTGTCCCAGCAACCGAGATGTTTAAGGTACGACAACCTTAATATACGGCTATAGAAAGGTGCTAACGGAAATATTAATATTTTTTTAACATTTCTGGTAAAGCGCTACCTAAAACATTATTTTTTTTCTACCGGAAATGTTAATATTGAGCGCTATCTAAATGTTTAACATTTCCAATAAAGCGTTACCTAAAACATTATTTTTCTACCGGAAATGTTAATGTTGAACTCTACCTAAAATTTTTTTTTTACCAGAAATTAGGTAACGAAATTAACATCCGGTAAAAATAATGTTTTAGGTAGTAATTTACCGAAAATATTAAAAATTATTAACATTTTCAATAGAGATTTTTTCTTAATTGTATATTAAAGTTGTTGTACAGTAAAACTACCCAGTAGCCCTTCACCTTTATAACTCAACAATGAGAGCTAGTTGGCTGATGATGGAGGATTGTCTAATTATATTACTTTTATGATGTTCTTATAGTTTTAATGTGATAATTTAGAAAGAAAAAAAAAATTACAAGGAAGAAATATGTAATATTTTATCTGCCGTGACACTGATTCTTCTCTTACAATGGAGAGAGATGTGTGCCCCTTTTTGTAAATATCTGTTGGTGGAATAATAGAAAAAACACATAATTAATATGATATAAATGTTGAATCAAAATAGAGTAAAAACTCTAATTGATCGAGAATATGAAAAAACTCTCTTTAGAATAATCTCACAAAATTGCAAAAGAGAAAAACTCTTAAGAAAGCTTTCAAATGTTTATAATTAAGCTTTGATTGTTGGATGATAAAACTCAAATACAAGTAGGGTATTTATAGGTTACAAGAAACAATCTAAATCACTCATTAAAATAATCACAAAATAATCTAAACCATTGAAATTAAAACATGAGAAAATTACTTAATTTTCACCTAACTAAATTGATGTAAGCAATGACATCAAAACTAAATTGATGTAAGCAATGACATCAAATTAATTTAGGTGAGAACTTATTTAGGCTAATATTGAATTTTCAACACTCTCCTTCAATGTTAGCCCCCATTCTTTGAATCATGCCAAGCTGACGACGGAAATGTTCAAACTTTCCAACACTCAAGCTTTTTGTAAACAAGTCAGCAATTTGCTCATCTGTCTTGATTTGCCTCATCTCAGTCTCTTCTTGCAAAACTTTTTCCCTAACAAAATGGTAATGTACTTCCACATGTTTAGTTCTTGCATGAAAAACAGGATTCTCCGCCAGCCGAATTGCCGACTGGTTGTCACAGTACAACAGAATTGCATAATCTAATGGTTGATGTAGATTATTCATCAACTGTATCAACCATGTACTCTCTTGAGCTTCCATTGCTGCTGCTCGATACTCAGCTTAAGTGATTGACAATGATACTGTTGGTTGTCTCTTGCTACACCAAGAAATTATTCCGGATCCAAGCTTAAACACATACCCAGTTGTTGATCTCCTGGTGTCATGATCTCCTGCATAATCATCATCACAATAACCAACTAACTTGCAGTCTTCACCTTTCTTGTACAAAAGACCATAGTTAATTGTACTCTTCACATATATCAGTGTTCGTCGAACTACTTCCAAGTAAGGCTTCTTTGGATTTTGCATATACCAACTCATTACACCAACTGCATAAGAAATGTAAGGTCGGGTCAAGGTTAAGTAGATCAGACTACCTACCAATTGTCGATACATTGTTGTATCTTCCAAATATTTTCCTTCATGTGCACACATTTTGATATTTGGTTCCATTGGTGTTGAAGTTGACTTGCATTCGAGCATTCCAAACCTCTTCAACAAATCTTTAGCATATTTCTGTTAACACATAAATATTACTTCGTGTGTGTGATCAACCTCTAGACCAAGGAACTGCTTAAGTTGTCCAAGTTCCTTTATCTGGAAAAGAACTAATACATTCTCCTTCGTCTGAAGAATTTATGCCTCATCATCACCGGTTATGATTAAGTCATCCACGTACACTAGCACGATAGCTAGCTTACCTTCATTGACTTTAACAAACAAGCTAGAATCTGCAGGTGTTACTAAATAGCCACTTTTCGTTAGAAATTCAGCAATCTTACCATACCATGCCCTAGGTGATTGTTTCAATCCGTAGAGTGCTTTTCGTACCTTACACACATATTCATGATGATCTTGACTCTGAAAACCCATTGGTTGGGTCATGTAGATCTCTCGATCTAGCTCTCCATGAAGAAAAGCATTCTTCACATCCATCTACCACAAATTTCAGTCTTTGTTGGCTGCAAGTGCAAGTAGGACTCATACAGTTGTAAGTTTTTCCACTGGACTAAATGTTTCATCATAGTCTAGTCCATACTGTTGAGAGAAACCACGAGCTACCAATCGTGCGTTGTACCTCTTGATTGACCCATATGGACGGCGCTTTATCTTGTAAACCCATTTGCAAGATATGGGTTTCACATCTTTTATCTTTGGCACAAGATCTCAAGTTTGATTTTACTGAAATGCATTGATATCTTCTTTCATAACTGTCATCCACTCAGAACTCTGTGATGCTTCTTCGAACGTCTCAGGCTCTGTTGCTTCTTCAATTATGGATGCATTGCCATATTTTGGATTTGGCCTTTATATTCTTGTTGACCTTTGGAGTTGAGATTGTGGAATTGATTATTCTGTTTCACTAGGCCCACCTTCTTCGTTTGGTTGTTGATACACGCCAGTTTGCCAAAGATTTTGAGTCACTCTTTGTTCGACATCATCGCCATTTGGATCTCATGATTCATCTGAACTTGTTTGGAGTTGAACAGCATGCTCCCCCATCTTTTGTTGCAACTTGTCTCCAAATTCTCTCGAATCTAGAAACACCTCCTTCTCTGAGGACCACCAATAAGATGCTTCATCAAATACCACATTTCGTGACGTGTAGCATCTTCCACTCATTGGATCATAACATTTCCACCCCTTTCTCTGGCTGTCGTATCCCACAAAGATACATCTAACAACTTTCTTGTCAAACTTGCTCCTCAAATGATCAGGAACAAACACAGAACATACATAACCAAATACTCGAAAGTAACTAACTGTAGGTTTTATGTTTCATAGTTTCTCAAAGGGTAAAACAAATCCTAACCTTGGTTGAGGAAGTTTGTTGATCACAAAGGTTACAGTCCTCATTGCTTCAGCCCAAAACCTTCCAGGCACGTTCTTTGCATGTAGCATACTTCAAAAAATTTCTGCAAGATGCTGGTTTTTTCTTTCCGCTACACCATTCTGCTATGGCGTGTTGGCACAAGTGTACTGATGACGTATTCGACATTCCCTTAGGTATTGAGAGAACTCATTTGATCTATATTCTCTTCCGTTGTCTGTGCACAAACAACATATCTTCTTTCCCACTTCTCCTTCAGCTGAGTCTCTAAACTCTTTAAACTTTGAGAATGTGTCATATTTTTCTTTCATAAAGAAAACTCATACATACCTAAAGAAGTCATCAATGAATGTTACCACGTACC